ACTATGCAGAGACCCAATTAGTTTTTGGTAAATATTTATGCTTATTAATCACCTAATTAACATAATTAATTAACACTGATATCTCAATTACTGATCATCATATTTGAATAAAATTTGGTACATAAATGCTCTAGGACAATAGACAGGCCTGATTAATTTTGGGTTAAAATTATTGTTCATATTAATTCTCTAATTAGCATAATAATTCATAATTTTTTTGTTCTGTTCATATTAGATACCTAATTTACATAATTAGTTTTCAGCTAATATCTCATGTATGGTACAAGTAATTTTGAAATAATGTGTCTTCAATACTCTCAGCACACGGGAGTTCTTTCTAAGCTTTCTTTGATTCTTACTGGTGTGGCTACAGTGACTGTGAAGTGTTTTTGTTTGTCGATTGTTGTCTTGGAATTTTGTCAAACAAATCAACAACGGTTAAATAGGTATGTTATTTCCATTTTACAGTATATCGTAAACAGTACTTGTATACTTTGTTATCCAGCATAAATATCAGATTGTTCGGAAGAATGAGATTGTAAATTTCGTTCATTAATGTTGTAAAATGATGCTTTCTCCAGGGCCTTCAGAGTCCCATGTTGACCATCTCCCGGTCCCTTTACTCACTTGTTGTCAGCGTCTGAGTGGTACATACAAAATACGACCAAGTAAACGTCAGAATATTAAAAAAAACAGAAACTTAAAAATCAGTTGCCCATGCCAAGAGAGCCGCAAAACCAAAACAATCTGTCGGCCTCGCCGTCCACAGCAGCGATATGATTTTACACATCGAAATTGAGAATCGCATGTGTAGACATATTGCATAGAAATGAACACTTAATACATCTATTCCGGCCAGCACTCGAATCATCAATCTTCATGAGTGATGTAACTGGCATTTCCATATATTTGCTACTATTCCCACTATCCTAAAACGCTCAAGTGAATATTGTCAAATTCGCGAGTGTGCGTATTTTCGTACAGTTGCGTGAACATTGCTACAATCAAAGACGCGCTGAACAGAAAGTCAATTCTGGGCTAGTACCATTGTCAAATTCTGGGGAGTAGAGGACTATTTATGTGGGAGACGTTACATAAGGACTATTAAAATTGTTCGATTTGCATATCAAAATCCTTTATTGGAACAGAGCATGTTCTATATTCACAAAAAAACAAAGTTGTTATGTTTCTAGAAACACAACAGATTCGAAATAATAGAAACCGTCCGATCCGAGCGACCTACGTTCTTGAAAATCGAGTCTTATCGCCCTTGCCTTTCCGAGCAAAAAAACCTTGAGGCCAAAAATGACCGATTTTCACCCAATCTTCAATGAATTTTTCATAATTTAGCTAATTCAGTCCAGCGGTTAGATAGGGTATTTATTAGAGACGCCCGGAGAACCAAAATTTGGGACGTGAATCGCCCCGGCAACTAAAAATTGGCGAAAATGGCCAAGGGGGTGATGGACTGCATTTCAAAAACATATTTTATATATAGGGTATATAATAAGATTCAAAATGGCCGACTGGTAGCCATTTTTCTTTTATTGAATGTGGTTCTAGTGCCATATCTCTGACTTGCTTTGACTGATTATGTTAAAATTTTAGATATTCATACATCATGTCATAGATATCAGTGTTCTCCCAAGAAATTTAAACCACTATGGCGGACTAATTTGCATATAATTTGCATATCATTTACATAATAATAGAAATTGACTAAAGCACATTTACACTCACATAATAAACAACATATATTTTCAAAAACAAAGTGGCAGATATTTATTCACTACGTTCAATTACCCACCATAGACTCCGGTCAGTCAAAATGACTATTTTGAAATGTAGGCATTAATCAGCGATTCTGCTGGTGGGAGAGATAGAATCTAAGTCAGGGAAAGCCCCATGACCCCAAGATTCTTTTACCCCTTATGTCACGAACCCACATGACCGAGGCCACATGGCAGTGCCTTAGGCAGCCGTACAATCACTCTTCTTTCATCTCTGCCTCGTCGGGAATGATTCTGAGCGGCTCTGCCTGGCTCTGTTGCTTTTTCCTGTCCAGGTTTCTAGCGTGGGTCGTCACCGCAGCCGCGGCATCTAACATTCTAGCTGGTAGGATAAGTTTTTCTTGTCTTTTTACCCTTGTGTCATTTTCCCTGTTGTGTGTTATGCTTTTCCACAACAAAGAAATTAAAACCTGGCGCCACTATGTAACCACATGTTGGTTTCATGGCGGCACCTTTTACAATATTTGCAATCACTGGGGTTCTGAAGCCTGGGATTCTTTCCAGCAGTATGTAAAAATAGCCGAGACTGACCGCATTGCTCGCTCGCGAAAAGGTTTCGCGGCAAGTGCTACCGGCATGGGTATGAGTGAGTTGTACGTTGGAATGAGTGATAAGTCCTCGCGCTCCGCTACCAATTCTCATACCGGGATACCAAGCAAAGGTCCCGATAGTGGGGATGCCGATGTATTTCGGTCTCCCCCCCCGCTGATCGGAGGGCATCTGCACAGTCTGTTTTTTCAGGCAGTGGGTTACCCAACTTTACCGGCAACAGCGAGGCTGTGCCCCAGGAGGTCCTTCCTCCTATGGGGCCCGTGCTGGGTCCCGTTGTGGATCCATCCTCGCACGGCGCCGGTTTTGCTGCTGAAATGAGGGCATTGGTTGAAAGACTGTCGGAGCAAATAGCGTCCCTGGCAGGCCGAGTAGACCACCTGCAGGCGGAGCGAGCTGTCTCCACTGCGGCCTCTCAGCGGGCAAGTAGGAAAAAACACAGAAAGCACCGTTCACATTCTAAACACGTCTCTTCCGGTGGGGTACCCCCCCCCCCATTCCCAGCCGTGACACATCCCACACACCCACCCACCCCCAAGGCTCAGGCTAGTGGCAACAGGTCTCCTCGGAGACCTCAGACACGTAACACCAACGGGGACGCTGGTAGCCAAGGCTCCATTTTCGGGGCAGGGCGTCAGGACAACAACCCCCCTCCCGCTTTCAACCACCCAGGGTTCACCGCGCAGTACCGAACTGATTAATTTACCTTCAAGTCCGAGCTCCGCTGTGGGTATCGACTCCCTTCTCGCCGACCCACAGAACTGAACCGACCTTGTCATGAGACGCACTCTTGAACACGCTCTCGCTCACATATTTAGGCTGAGAGGTGGAAGTTCGTTCGCGTCGGATACAGTGGGTACCTCGGGCGGTCCCTCAGAGTCCACATTGCGCAATGACTCGGTGAGCCATGCCGTTGGGGTGATGCGGAATATTATCAGTCTAGGTGATACTATGTATATCCACCCATCCTCGATCCTAAAGCAGCCACTTACGGTCGCTTCTACGCTGATGGGGTCGCAGGCGCCGGGATCCAGATCGACCCCCATCCGCACGTCTCCCCTGGTCCAGCCGAGTGCTGAGCGTGGCGGACGGTGTGCAGACGGTGTTAAGGGGCAGTCGTTGGACAGCCGCGAAAGAGGTAACGCCAAAAACCCCAGGCTGGGGGAATATTTTGCATAACCCCTTTCGCTGGACCAAACGCTATCCCATCGGGGCAATCTCAGATTCGAATCCCAATTCGTGGGACGAAACCAAAAGACGTGTGTGTTTTTGCCGGCGAACTGAGTCAGGGGGTACGCCATTGCCTCAGTTATGCAGACTGGACATCGCCCGCCCTCTTTGATGGGGAGATAGCGAGTGCAGTCGCAGAGCTTCGGGGTGTAACAAACCAAATGGTCCAAGTCGAATCTGCTAGCCAGTTGGCCGCTGCCAAGGGTAAACAGAGGGTGCCCCAAGCACAAAAAGCACAACGCCCTAAGACTAGCTCTGCCAGTCAGCCAGGACTCATACCCTTCCGCGGGAGGGAAGAGTAGCGGCGCGCCCCCGGGAAAGAAAGGACCAGGTGGTGGCTCCTCCTCCTCGCGTGGTCGTCAACCCCGGCAGCTGGGGAAGCATGTTTGACGCTTACCTCTGCGAGGGGGGTGGGCTTGCGTTTGGCAAGAGATCAGGCTACAGCTTAGTAACCCCAGTGATCTCTGGGGGAGCTCACCTCACGGTAGAGGAGAACCCCCCCCTCTTACAACCACCGAATGCATGGCCACAGATCCCTGTCGCACATAGATTGCGCCGGTGCATTCCAGCTTGGAGACAGCAGGTAACCGATCCCAATCAGTTACAGAATACAACTGACATCTCCACCGCCCCTGTCAGTGTCCCCCCCGTTGGGGGCACTGCCAGGGGATCCCCACAAGGCGGAAGCAATCAGACAGGAAGTAGACAGTTTGCTAAGAAAGGGCACGATACACAGAATAGTTCAGCCGGCGCTAAGTCCGGGCTTCTATTCAAATGTATTCGTAGTACCAAAATCTACAGGCAGCTGGCGTCCAGTTCTGGACCTAAGCAGACTAAACCAGTATGTGTGTCTTGATCAGTTCCGCATGGAGACACCATCTAGTGTTCTACTCTCCATCCACCGGCTCGACTGGCTAGCCTCTTTAGACTTATGCGACGCTTACCTGCACATACCGATGCACCCAGCGAGTTGCCCTCTTCTTCAATTCGCCAACCTGGGCCAAGTATTCTAATTTCAGGTGTTCCCTTTCGGGTTATCCACAGCGTGTTCACCAGAGGGATGAAACAGGTAGTACTGCTGCTCCACCAAATGTTGGTACACATCAATCCGTACCTAGACGATTGGTTGCTACACAACCCAGACAAAGGGTTATTAGCAAGACATGTAAGGCTTACACAGGGTTTACTTCACCAGTTGGGCTTTCTAGTAAATCACAAAAAGTCCCATCCCGACCCGACTCAACAGTTGGTGTTTCTTGGTATGGAGTTCGATACCGAAGTAGGCCTGGTTCGCCCATCTCAAGCGCGTTGCCTAGTGCTAAGCAACCTAGCAGAACGCCTAGTCAGCGTACCTTCAGTGTCTCTCCGAGAACTAATGCGGCTCATCGGAATGATGACCTCCGTTCGAAGGGTAGTTCCCCAGGCCGCACTATGCAGCCACCCGGTCCAACGCTTGTTATTGGAACACCGTGCTCACCTACGGGAACTAAACAGATGGGTATTGATCCCGGACTAAGTAAAGAAAACCCTGTCCTGGTGGTCGTCGTTAACCAACCTCAGACAGGGGGTCCCCTTGGACCCACTCGTCACAGCTATGACTCTGGTAAGAGACGCCTCCCTTCAAGGGTGGGGAGCGCATCTATTGGACAAACAAGCCCAAGGAATATGGCCCCTGCAGTGTGTTCGGGACCACCATATCAACTGGCTTGAGCTGAAAGCAGTGCACCTAGCACTTTCATGCTTTCAACCCGAAGTTTGAGACCACAGAGTCCTGCTCTGCACGGACAACACAGCGGTGATCTCCTACATCAACAAGGAGGGGGATGTGTTCTCCATCGTTGTCGGCCCTAACAGAGCAAATTCTCCTTTGGTGCCTGGAATACAATGTGGAGCTAACCGCACACCACCTTCCAGGGGTGAGAAACGGTCTGGCAGACGCCCTTTCGAGGTGGCTCCGTCTCCAGAACACAGAGTGGCAGATTCCCCAGTGGGTAGCCTCCAGGTTGTTTCGGCTGTGGGATGGTCCAAAGATAGACCTGTTTGCTCCACCCCGGAACGCCAAGCTCCCGACATACGTAACACTCCTGCCGACACCAGGAGCCTGGGCCGTGGACGCCTTATCAATCCCCTGGTCCCACATGGATGCGTACGCCTTTCCTCCCTTCCTGCTAATTCACCAGGTACTGGCGAAACTTCGACAAGAGCCCACCTGCATATTAACTCTGGTGGCGCCCAATTGGCCGACCAAGACCTGGCTTCCGCTCCTGCTGGAAATGATAGTCGAAACATCGGTAGTGCTGCCGGACATACCGGACTTGCTGTTCCAACCAGACGGCACACTACCAACAAGCCCAGCAGTGTACCACTTACATGCATGGAGGCTCTCAGTAGATTGTGCAGACGAAAGGTCTATCTAAGCGGGCTGCCAACGTCCTGGCCAGGGTGAACAGGGATTCCACCAACGCTGCCTGCGACTCGAAATGGCTAGCATACACCAGTTGGTGTAGTGGAAGAGAGATTGATCCATGCCATCCCTCTATCGGCCAGGTAGCAGACTTCTTTGTCCACTTGTTTGACGAAGTGGGTCTGTCCTACGCAGCGATCGTTGGCTACAGGTCAGCCTTGTCCCCCGCCATAGAAAACTCTTTGGCGTCAAGTTTAGCCGATTGTCCCATTATTAGAAGACTGTTTACTGCTTTCCATAATCAGAGGCCCAGGGCCCGTTCAAGGGAACCGCCCAATTGGGACCTGTCGGTTGTTTTATCAGCCCTAAGCAGACCTCCCTTTGAGCCCCTCGTTTCAGCACCACTCAAGTTTTTGACATGGAAAACTGCCTCAGGTAGGCCCCGGTCAGAGCTTAGGCGCACTGTCCTTCGTGGACGATTGTGCCGCCTTTATTGACGATCAAGTTGTACTAAAGACACGAATCGGGTTTCTTGCCAAGAACCAAATCCCAGGACACGATCCTCAACCGATCGTCATCCCCCGGCTGTCAAATATTGTCTGTCCGGAGGATCAGGAGGAATTGCTTCTCTGCCCGGTCTGAGCACTGAGTTGCTACGAGAACCATACCAGGTTTTTCAGACAGGGAACCAAACACATGTTTTTGTGTTACGGCCCTGGCAAACAGGATAAGCCGGCTTCCCCGACTTCCATCTCCAGGTGGATTACTGCGACTGTACTGGAGGTCTATAATACACTATCCTCCTCAACACAGACCTTGCAGAGACACCAAGTACATGAGCACATGAGGTCTGTGCGATTGCTAACTCACTAGCGCTAGCGTCAGGCACCCCCCTCAAACACATTCTGAGGGCAGGCTACTGGAGAACACAGAACGTCTTCATCAACTACTACCTAAGAGACACCCAATCTATTAAGCAGGGTCTCTTCAGGTTAGGCCCTGTCGTAGCGGGTCAGGCGTTGATTACCAACCCAGCCCGAACGACCGCAGGGGCCCCTGCGCATAGGCAATATGTCAGTCTCGGCATTCTTGCGGGCAGATTGTCTGTACCACTAGCACTTCCTGGAAGCTCCCAGGTTTCGCTTCTTTTTTCGACCTATGCCCTCATGCGAACTGTTTCGGTCCTACTTCTAGCTTATCACCCCTGAATTCGGCTTGGGTCTAGCTTTCTCTGGCACATCGAACCCTGTCACCACAGCAGCATTGGCTTCTTGCTTCGGGGACAGCACAGGCGAGGTAAGATACCACCCTTCTTGGGTCTTAACTAAGGTATTGAGTTTGTTTTCATCCCGAACTGGGAAAAGACTTTCATAATTTTTTCTGTTTGCTCGGAAAAACCTCCCACCTATCTGCGTCTGACTCTGCCTACAGTTCAAAATAGTCATTTTGACTGACCGGCGTCTATGGTGGGTAATTGAACGTAGTGAATTTAGGCAAGGGTTCTCCGAACCCGCCTATTCACATAGTTCATACCCACCACAGACTCTGGGTCTCCCCCCCCCCCAACCACCACACTCTTTTCGTAGCGTTGGTCTAAGTCCTCGAGGTGGAGAGAAAGAAACCAGAGTGAATGTACGGCTGCCTATGGTGCTGCCATGTGGCCTCGGTCACGTGGGTTTGTGACACAAGGGGTAAAAGAATCTTGGGGTCGTGGGGCTTCCCCTGACCTAGATTCTATCTCTCCGTCACCGGCAGAATCGCTGATTAATGCCTACAGTTCAAAATAGTCATTTTGACTGACCGGAGTCTATGGTGAGTATGAACTATGTGAATAGGCGGGTCCGGAGAACCCTCGCCTAAATTTGCTTCACACAGTGTTATAAGCACTTACTTTGGGCACTTTTGTAATATTAATTTTAATGAGCTCTGTCACAGTGCAAATATTTTTTTCATTGGAGTCAAAATATTACGTTTCACAATTTAGAAGAGTTTGAATTTAAAAATTAAACATTCTCGAAATGCAAATGCTGCAGACTAAAAAGAAACAAATAAATTGTTGTCACACGCAACGTAATATTACCGTAATTGGTATAGTACAGGTGTGATGGTTCAAATACCACAATGGCAACAGTAACAAAAAGACTTCCCTGGCGATGATAAAACACGAACACAGAGCCAACAGATGAGGTTTCAACTGGTACTGGTATTATTATACTCTGCAAACATCAAGTACAATAACGCGGTAAAACTCCACTACTCCAATAACTAGATACTTAAACTCCAATACAATTCAACGAGATCTCCGATCTGATCTCAGTGCTGAACAACTCCCCTATATACCCACACTGTCTATAAATAGACCATTACATCAGCATACATAATGAGTCTGGAACTTACATGTACTACAAATTTCTAGAATGTTCCATTACCTTCTACAGTGTCCTATTACCTATTCAACCAGCTTCTAAAAATTCCGCCCAGACACAGTACGGTTCTAGAACATTCTCAGTCACACGGAAGTGGTAAACAAGTCGTATGCGACAATTGTAATAGGTTAAATGAAACTCATTTGAAACGTTTCAGCCAGGATTATGTTCACGACTTTCATGATCTTATGTACTACAAAATTTTCTTTCAAAAAATCGACCACGTAATTATTTGGCAGATTGCTGGTTATTATTCCGACCATCAGCTTCTACAACGTTTACATTTACAGTAATGAACGAACAAATAATATTTCCAAGCGATCATCAAAGTTACTACGTGACATAACCTACTTCGTGGTGTTATACACCGGTTATAAATGTACAAATAATTCCTCTTATTGGTGGCCATTTTTATGCTAAAAAATCATCAAATATCAAGCATTTCTGACATTTATGGATGGATTTCGTTCAAACTTGGTACATACATTGGACATTATAGGTTCCTGATGCACATCATTTTATTTTTCAGATCGAATTTAAAAAGGCTGACTGGCGGCCATTTTGTTTTAAAATGAATGGGCTTCTAGAGCCATATCTCTGACATGCTTTAACTGATATGTTCAAATTTTATATATTCATTATACATCATGTCGTGGATATACAGATATATTGGTTTGACGATTCTATTCAAAATAGCTGAATAATTACATTTTTTTTATATTACTGTGAAATACTTTATTTTAGCTTTAATTTCTTTTTGCTGAAAAGACTTTTTGGGTGTTTTGTATGGATTTTATTTTCAATGATTTTGGACGAGTTAAATGTAAAATATTTTCACTGAATCATTCCTTCAGCAAAGATAGCTAATATTAATTCTAAGCAAAAATAAAAAAATTTACAGTATTTGGTTTTATTACATTTTGTGATTATATAGCAAATACATTACATAAGAGAAGGCCTTATCCCAATATATGGTGAGTGGTATTATTGAGCTGGAGTTGTTCCTGTAAGATATGGGCCACTTTTGGTGATGTATCTCAAGTTTACTATTCCTTATTTCAATATTTTCTCAATCTCCTTTATGTTTTTGACCATGGTAACATAAATTAGTGGCATTTTGCATTCATATAAATGTTTTTTACCAAGAATTACAACTCAGTTAAAACAAGTGTTATTTTCTAAAGACCATCTGTTGAACTGCATTATTGGAACCACTTCAGGTATAGGTGAAAATGATAATAAATTAAATGATATATTGTTTCATTTTCAACTTTACAAAAAGTGTGCAAGGGGTTGTCAACCAGTGGAGAATTAAATTTAAAATGATCTGAATTAAAGTACATTTGGAGATTGTTTGACCAGAGATGCTAGAAAGTGTTCTGATGATAAGTGAAGTCAATAACAAACTGTAGAACTTTGAAAGGATACATAGCAACCCAATCAGTGTGTTTTCATCAACTTGTTGTAACAAAATATGTGCCATCTCATGCAGCAAATCATGCATGGAAATGATCAATCATAAACCACAGATTCAGAATGTCTCGTAGTATATTTATTTGTATGATCCTTTGAGAATTTATAAAACTATTTCATATGAAACCTTTCTAACCCTGTCTTCTTTCTTTCAGGGAATTGTATATTGTTCCACTTCCACGGATGTTTATGCTAATTTAGCATTTGAAGATTGGTAAGTATTGATCTGCACCTATAGTAGTTATGTTTATTCTTTGTTGAACAGGATTCAACCACAGTTTAGCTTTGTTGTCTTTGAAAATAACATAGCAGAGCAGTTCAACTGTTCTTCCATCTATTCTTCATCAATTACATTTTCATCATCTTATTGAAAACCAGAGTGCTTTTGATATAAAAATAACTTGGGTGGTTCCCTCTCAAATTTGATAATTTTGTGTCAGTACCTCACATTATGCGATATGGCAGCCTTCACTTTGCTCAGAAACTGTGGATATATTAGTCACCACAGGTA